CTCACTCTTAGGACAATTCTACACTGAGATGTTATCTGAAACCAAGGCCACAGAAGATGAAACCACTACTGTTAAAAGAAAAGGCTTTTTGAAAAAGCCTCATATTTCAGGATGCAAAAATTCCATGCAAAAGGACCGTACTAAAAGAAAGATCTATCAAACTCCTTAGGCTGACCTACTCTAAAGTCATCAGTTACCCAGTCCTGAGCAAAAGCCCTTTCTGACCCATATCACTATTACTTTCATGAAATTGGATGATTTTTGTTCCAAAGCCAGAGAATTTGAAAATATCCTTCAGGCTGAAGCTCTACCTTAATAATTGTGTTTTCAAAAGCCTGACAGTAATACTGAGTTCATACTTAACTGCTTCATACTTAACTACCTCTGTTCATACCTTCCTAAAATATAAAGCTGAGATAAAATAATACTAAATACTTGTACTAATCTCAGTATTCTGTGATAAATATTGTGTATTAAGGGTATCAAATCAGAAACACTTAATTGGTTTATCTGTTTCTTCAGTGGTAATTTTCAGGGTAGCGAATGTATCTTTTCAAGCCATTTAACAATGTTTGTAACCAACTCTGTTCATTCCCCAAAACTGGAAGACATTTTCCCTTCAAACTCTGCAAACAAGCCTTCTTCCATATCTCATTATTGGGCATCCTGCAAAACTGAAATTGCTATAGCAACACCTGCCATAATACCAAGGTTTTCATTGTAAGATAAAGGCTAAAAGTACTCCTAAATACACAGTAAAGTGACCACATAGAGTTGTACCATGAGCTAATTTCAGCCAAGAAATTAAAACAAGATAAGCAATGTTTTGCTAAGGAATCACTAGAGAGTCCGTTATTTTTGTGCAGAGAAACTTTTTAAAATATCATATCTTCCAAAATATGGCAAGAAGTACTCTACAATGGATAATGAATCCATTTTGACAGTACCATCAATCCTGACAAAGAATTAGCATAATTCCTGTAAGTATACATAATTTTATACGTTAAAAAAGTAGTATCAGAGCAGAAGGTCTAGAAAGGATTTTACTATTCTTTTTGTCTCATTAAATAAGTATTTTATATGGTTTCCACAAAACAAAATCTGACAACTCAAAAAACAGTATACTATTTCAGTAGCTTTGAGAACAATTAACCCAGTTCCTGCACCACCACATCCGGACTTTTTAACTGCTCTCATGTCCCACAAAGTTTACTTCTGATTGTTGTGCCTGAGACATTATTAATTGTATTTGACAATTAAGTTATTTTTAATCTCCATTTCTAACAATGAAAACATATAGAATCAAAAGTTAAACGTCATTCCAACAATAGCACAACAATATATGCTATTTTAAAAAATTAAAATAACAAAAAGTTTCTTAATATAGCCCAGCACCAACGCTTCCTAGGCTTTCAATATATGCAAAACTGTGCACGTGTCTGTATGTATAGGATATACAAGAAAAATTAGACACTTACACAGTATTTAACCTGAAAAGTGAGCACTTCATTATGTTCCACTCCTAGAAAACAGTTTATTTACAGTGAAAATGTCACCAGTGTCTGTTTAGAGTCTACTTGAAGACAGGAATAAACCGTGTCCAAGAGTCAGTGTTAAGAGCTATCAAATAACAGCAATCATTTTCTCCTTACTATAATATCAGATTGCAATTATTAAAGATCCACACTAGAAAGAGAAGTTAAGATCTTGCAACTGGAAGTTCACATTTTTCTCATTCTGAAGGATAACAGCTCTTACACATCCTGCTGCAGGCAGCTAGCCTCCAACAACAGATAATCATCAGGCAATTGATTTTTTGTTGTTACGGTCTGTATAAAAGATAACAGTGGTTCCACAAAGTGGCAGCAGCCATACTGAAACACTGTGCTGACCAAGAAACAAATGTGTTGAGTAAATTAACTAGTACAAAAGCTTTGTGGGTTTATGGGCAGCTGAAGGCAGAAATATAATTCTTAAGAAGGCGAGGAATTCCCCCTTATTGGGATTTCAACGCCTCAGATTTTTTTCCTGTGTAAGAGAAACTTAAGCTATTGCAGTAAAACAGACAACTGTGTCAAAGTACCAGAATTTCAGTCTCTCTTCCCCAAGCTCGAAACAAATGCCTTGTGAAATGGAATTCTCCTCTCGTGCCTCCTGAGGTCATCAGGACACATTAAGTCCTTCACAAAAAACACTGTTCATGCCTGCAGTCCCTAGAAGGCTTGTTTGTTTGGGTTGTTTTTTTTTTTTTTTTTTTTTTTTTTTTTTTCTTCCCCCCCCCTAGATATATGGTAGGAGAAAAGTGGTCTGGGTCTGTTTTTGACAGATGGAAGAAAAATGCATATTTATAAAGATGTCAGCAACTGGGAAAAACTCAGAAAAAAAATTGTACCATTTTCCTTTTCTTTCAAAGATGTATTTTCCTAATTCTACAGCAACACTTTGTGTCTTTGTCCATCCAGTAAAGAAGTTCCAGAAGTTATAAGTAGCCATTTCAAGAAATCTTCTAATCTGAAAATACACATGCTGTCAGACTGGTCTAACATCCACTTTCTGGTTCACAACCACTTCAACTGCTACAATTATTTTTTATTTTTTTTTCTTTTTTCTTTTCAACTGAACTTGTCTGCAGTTTGCTATAGACCTCAAGGCTAAGCATTTAGTAAGAGAGAAGGCAAACATTTTTTTTTTACATAAAACACATAAGTGGAAGTTTATAGACTATTTCTGCATGTCACATGGAAAATGACTAATTCCTATATTCTGAACACAGACAGTCAATCTGTTTTGAAAGTATTTGTATCTCCTCTGAAAAGTGTTTGGGATGGACATGAACAGTCTGGGTAATACAAGCCTGCTGTAAATTGCAACTCTGTAGATCACTCACCATTTCACTTTATTAATCATTTTTGTTCGCCCATTCTTTCCTAAAAAAATCTAAAATACCCATTCAGGACAGGCAAAGACTCCTTTATGAATCCTATGACCAATCACTTAAAAGATTGCTGGGAGTGACATTATACCAATATAAGATCTCCCACTATCTCAAATAATATCAATGATTTCTGTGAAAGCTGTCTTGTTACTCTTCCATGGTGAATGACAAATATTTATACGCCAACTCTACAAACATCTCTCTCAGTCTAGAAATCAACATCAGGGAAAAAACATGTAAACAACTAGTGCCTTTTAGGCTGTGATTCACAAGAAACAGGGATTTTTCTTTCATCTAAGAAAGAAATATACTGTAGAGCTAGTAAGTGTTTATTTGTTCATTTTTAAAGACTAAAAACACCCAAAAAACCCAACCTTTTTGCTATATAGTATTAATATAAGGGTGCATATTTTTTTTTAACAGTAAAGACCATTTACAGAATAATTTCAGATAACCAAGCATGTTTACTAGCTATTTGCCTGGGAAGTGGAAGAGCTTTTCTTTCTTCTTTCTCAGCTTTTCACTTTGAAAACTCCTCCCTTTCTGTAAACTATTTCAAAGCAAAATTTTTTCACCTCCAGCAATCCAGATTACAAATCTATCCTCTCCTGACAATTGCTCTTAAAGTTAACACAAGTCCTGTGCTCATTACCGTCAGCTAAAGAAACAGCTTGAATGTACCTGGCCGACATAGCCCCTAGTGCAGGCAGCCTTTAGGATGTCTGCATGAGCCAATCTTGGATGGAAAAGCACAATGTGGACAAAGTGAACACTCTGGGAGATGTGTGCTGCACAGATCTTGCAGTGAAACCCTCTCAGGAGCACTCACAGACATCCCATAAAACATGGGCTTGTAAACTCAGTGCTGCACTACACCTGATCACTTGATATATACTCTTACAAATTTATAGACATTTCCAGAATCCTCATTATGCTCCAACAGATACATAAATGTGTCATCAAAACAGAGCATTCACAAAACCAAGTTTAACACTGATGGCAAGCCAGAGAAGAATGCTGCCTCAATATGACTGTCACATTGCTTTACCAGTGCTTCACCCTTTAATACAGTGCTGCCCGTTTTTTTCTATTCCCCTTTACAGATCTGTTAGGACTCTTGTTTCACAAGTACTGTGCTAAAAAGACCCTATGATTCCACCTGATGAATCTGGCACAAAGCACATCTAAATGGATCAATAAAGCCTTTCCAGTTGCCAGCTTTTTTGAAGACTAAGATCTGTGCAAGGATCAGGAAATTTGAAAAAAAAAAAAAAAGAAAAAAAAAAAAGAAAAAAAAAAGAGAAGAAGGTTAAAAAACAAAACAAAAAGAAACCAAACACACAACAGTAAGGGTGATTTAATCACTACAGTCTTCATGGAAAACCAAACAAAACAACCATTTTATGTGAAAACAATTTTCTTGGTGTATACAGGAGTCTTGTGCTCAAGCCTTATGACTGGAATTTGTACCTCATTTCAACACACAATTTTAAGCAGTATCAGTTAAAACTAGGGTATGACTAGTATAAAACATTAAGCTATACAATTTCTGAATTTCTGAGGCATTTGCAGATATGTTGTTACAGATAAGATATAAAAACTGTATCAATTGACAGCAAGGCTGAAGATAAAAAAAATCTGACCAGTCCCTTGCAGCTAAAGTTTAACACTACCGCAGAACTTTGAAGTTGAAAGTAAAATATAAGTAGCATCACTTAAAGCTAAGAGAACTGACAATGAGGATACTGTAGTCAGGCACACAAAATGCTTTCCATACTCCTGAGAAGCATGAGAACTTTAATTTCTGCACTTTCACTGTGATAGTAAAAACTTCAAGTGTGTTTCTGAACAAATTAATGTTTCGCCTTGCAACCTTAAAGACTCAAACTGTCTAACACCTTGAGAGATGCAGCAAACACAGAAATATGCAAATGTTCATAATTTTCCAACTGTATTACAATAATGACCAAGCTGACTCTGGTCCTGCAGTCCCAGAAAACAGACGAAGTTTTTTGTTATTGAAATGAACTGCCTTTCCTATTTAAATATCTAAACACAGTATTACCTTCATGGCATGGATTTCTTCTATTAATCTCTCAACTCGTTTCTGATTCTTTAATTTCAAGTCTTCTGAACCCCTGAAAATGAAGTCAGTCTTTGTTAAAAAAATGTGGGTTTTGTTCACTTTATTTCCCCATAGGCTAATACTAAATAGCAAAATAAAAATATAACAGGAGAGAGCATAAACAAATTCTCTTGTTGTTAAATGAACATTTCAGTACAGAGCTGAACATAATCTAATGCTTTTGCTGTACTGAACAGAGGGGGAAACACTGAGGATTTACCAGAATAATAAGAAAGACAAATGTGACTATTAGAAAATAGTAACTATAATTCCTATCAACAATACATAGGAGACACTGCTATCTCAAATATAATCCCATTAAGATCGGTAATATTTAAATATAAAAGATCTTCGGGCTTGCTTCTTATTTTGCACAATTTGCTAGAATTGTGGGAGACGAGTAGGCTTAATTTACACTTTGAACGCAGTAACAGATGTTATGTTACACCGTCTCCAATGAGACATCATAAATTACTCTGTGCCAGTTATCTTTAAAAGCATAATCTACAAAATGTTGTTTTAACTATTTACTTAAATATGAATTGATACTCATCATTAAAAATAAAATATGACCTGTCTATCTGTGCAAACTGAACAGGATTTTTTGCTATAGAACCTTGCAGGAAACTGCAGTGAGAAAATGTTGCACAGTGACATCCAGCAGCAGAATAACCTAAAAGATCAAGTCTGACACTTTTAAAAAAGTGCTGTAAAAGTTTCTGTAAGTGATTCAGGTTAGTTTCCAACACACTAAGCCCCTTTAAAAAAATGTTATCCCAATTCTGCTTTATGAAACTGCTTTTAGTTACTATTTTTAGTCTATCTAAAGAGACATAAGACAAAGAAAATTTATGCATCATAATGCTTTAAGCTTTAAATGTAATACATGTTTCTCCAACTTCTCCATTTCTTGGAAAACAGTTAGGACACTATTTCATTTGTAAACACACAAACAAGAACACTGATATTTAAAACTGACTTTTTCAACTTTAATTTCCCAATGTGTCTGGTTAGTCTGCGAATAGTCAGGACTCTGGCCTTCTTCACATCTTTTCTCATCTTCACCACCTGTCAGAAAGATGGAAGACATTATTAATCTTGTTTTCCTTGATTAGTTTCCACTTCATTACATTGACTTAAATTTTAGAAATTAATTCAACAAAAAGAATGGTTTTTGAAGAGTGCATTCCCTTGCTAACCAAAACCCAATTCAACTTAATTCAGATTTCATTTAAAATCAAACTGCTTCCACAAACATCAGAGGAGGAACAACCACCAGTCTAAAAATGTGTCTGAGGTCTAAACAGAAGACAAGACATTCCTAACTAGCCATACTTTAATATTATTCTTAGAGCTAGACTGAGCTAGAGATTTGAGGAGACTCACCTTTCTCCTTTTGTTTATTTTTGTCCCAGTGAAACAGCACCAGTACTTTTCCATTAGTACATGACATGTAAAAGTATTTTCATTATGAAACATCTGAAAGCTTAAGGAGATACTCCCAAATTAAACATTATTTATTATAGAACAGAATTTGAGATATGAAAATCTTTTTACATATTTGATTTTTGTTGTAAATAAAATCAAAGTGATTTCCAGCTCACTACTGTAGCTTTCAGCTTTCTATCCTACCCAGTAATCTGTTCCCAAAATGTATTTCAAAGTAGACAGTATTAAATAAAACTCAATAATCATGTTTTGGTCTTATTTCTTGTCCCCGAAAAAAAAGAAATAGAATTCTAATTATTATTAGACAGATGGTATAAACAGACAAATCTTTGGCATCTTTTGCTATTAAGTTCCACCAGAGGAAACCTTAGGCCTATGCATTGTCTTCTCAAAATGCACATTTTGGAGATACAGGGAGTCAACAATGACTTATAACCTTGCTTTTTTACAACTCAGAAGAACCCCTTCTTTGTTCATATAAATAGTACTATTACTATTAAGATTTTGTATTTAAGTTAAACTTAGAAAATATGAAATATTAAACAAAAAAAAAAAAGAAAATCAGTCTTCAGGCAAAAAGCCAAATTTCTCTTAAAGATGTTCGAAAGTAACTTGGCATTTATTTCTTGAGGAAGTTTTTTACCTCGGATTTCTATTTTATCTTCTAGTTTCTCAAAGATAACACCAAAATGATTGCTTAAGCGTGATTGCACCATCAAGTCAGTTCCTCCGGGACTATCAGTGATAGACCTGCATCAAGCTTGACCAAAAAAGAGAAAAAATAACTCTTCAAAGCTCACAGAAGAATACCTCACATCTATGATGGGAAGCTTGTCTAGTATATATATTGCCTGTGCAGAGACCATAAAGGTGAGATGTTATCATTTATTTTTAAAAACAATCTACATATTTTACACACCTGATTATGTCTGTAGCTAGGTTACCAACACAAGCAAGTGGTTAAGCCTTGAACTGTACTCAGCATTGTCTCTACTGAAGACTGAATCAGGCAGAGAAAAACAATTTCTAGGGAGAGGCACATGCCGATTGCCAGCTCCACCTCTGCCAGGGTGGAGGAGAAGCATGTGGAGCAGTGCTTCCCCGAAAAGTAGGGAAGGAGAATTGTACTGGCGCAGCATTACTGGCACTTGAACAGAGAGCAGGGAAAAGGCAAAGAACATTTCTGGGACAAGAATGACAGACGAAATTGGTCTCCTGTTCTAAAATTGATACAGCAAAGTTCAGTACTTACCTCAGTTACTCTAGTAAAAATAACCGTACACACAGGTCTACCTACAAGCATTTCTACTTCAGTTAACAGCAGAAACCACTTGCCAAAAAGCACCTGTGCCAAGTCCCTGCTAGACAGCAGCATTGCTCAAGTCTTTATGCACTAAGGAAGAAATCCTTAACATTACCATTAGCCATCTGAATATGTAAACATTTATTTTTGTAAGATATTGAACGTTATCACAGCTCCCTATATTACATCTCCTAAATGGAAGAAAATAAAGCATCTTCTGGTTGAACACCTCTCAGATACTATATACATTCAAAGAGTATGGCACTTCAGATGCAAACTGCATATGACTTGTCAGAACGTTTTGGGGGCGACTGTTTGTTTTGCTTTCTTTTCTGATTTTTAAATAACTATAAAAAACATCAGCAAGCTACAGACACATTTGAATTTAAATAACTCATACCTTACACATTAGTTACTTTAAACCCAAACCTGAGGTATATTTAACCTTCTTTCAAAAAATATTTTGTGATGTATTTTTTAATAGAAATACTAATGCAGACACAGCATGTTTCTGGGGCCTACAAGAGCCAAACCCCAGCCTCCCCCACTGCCAGCCAATGAAGGCTGTATAGACATATGACAGCAGGAATGAGGGAAGGTATTCACTCTTTGGCAGACTAGGAATATCAATTTATGTAATCCACAGTCACTTCTTTCACACGGGACAGTATGCATCAACTGTGTTCTTGGAAGTACTCATAAAGTTCTCAAGAAAGCAGTCAGCTCTTTGGGACAGAAATCAAAAAAGTTTTGCTTTAGATTTACAGTGTGCCTGAAATAATGCGGCTTAGACCACCAGGGTGGCTCCTAGGACTCACTGAACTATCCACCTCTCATGTTACAAAGTGAAATAGGCAACTTCCTCTTGAGTAAAAAAAACAAGACAAAAACAACAGCAAAAAAAACCCAAACAACAACCAAAAAAACCAAAACAACAAACAACCCAGAAAAACAAACAAACAAAAAAAAAAACAACCAAAAACCTCCCCACCAAAACCAGCAGCAGATTTTGAAAAACAGTAACAAATAATTACTCCCAATAAGAAAGAAATTTTTTATAAAGAGGTTACGAAATACAAGAAAAGGAGAAGTCTTTGCACTGAAACTTAGAAAGGCTGCAGTGTGAGTCAGGGTCAGACTTATCAATGTTTTAAGATCGGGCTATAAGGATTTTTAATCTACTTGGAGGTCGCAGTAAACGCAAGAGAATAAACACAGGCAAATCTCAAAGCAAGCTACTTATTCTATCAACAGGAACGCATTCTAGGATTCCTGGAAATTCAGGAAGCCTGCAATTATAAGTGGAAATAACCACTTCAAGAATTCCTTGCAACAAAGAACAAGAGATGCTTTCCTTTGTTGAAGACATTTCTTTATTCTGTGGGAAAACAATATCTACAAGGCAATTAAGCCATTACTATTTACTAATGCTAACAACTATCCGTGCTTATTAATGACTAATGCATATTTATTAACTACAATTCTTAAATAGGTAGATAATATAAAAGTAAGAATATGTAAAGATAATATATAAATTATTAAATCTCAAAGAAATCATAGGGGAAGTGAACTCACTTAAAAGCAAGCCTAGGTAGTAACACATGCTAGCCTGAAAGCACATGGTAATGTTTCAAAAGCTATGGTTAGGAATAAAAATCACATCAACTCCACACTATGCCTTCCACAGTATACTGCAAGTATTTATATTACTACAGGTCCTAAACAAAGATGAAATGCAGAAAAATTCCTTGGCTACAGGTATTCCACAAAGAGAGGCTTCCACAACCCCAACAACTTGCAACCTACAGTAAGCGCTGCCACAAAACATGACATGTACCAGACAATTGCACACAAACCATTTCAAGCCATAGGCAGACATTAGCTGCTGCTGTTTCAAGAGAGAAAGTGCAAAGAGTGCAGCATGGGACCAGCAGATTACTAGAAAACTTCTCCTGCAGTTTATCTTTGCCCAGGGAGTGCATGTTACTGAAGGGGTTTGTAATAGGAATTGCTGCTCGCTACTAGCAGCAGTATCTGGCAACAAAAAGACCCCTGATTTGGATGGTACACTTGGCATGGTACAAAGGAACAAGAGGGTGTATGTCAAACCAAGAGGATGATTTCCAGCAAACAATGCATCTAACAAGTGTGTGTTTAAATGCATCACAAGAACTATATTTAACCCAAAATTTACAGCCAAGGAAGGGACAAATCAACAGCTTCAGCCACTTTGCCTTCTTTCTCCAGGTTGCTCCTGCCTCTGAAGGGTAAATAACCATTCCCAGAGATTTGTCCTCTTATATAGTAGTTCAGTGAAGCCTCCCCAGTCCTCAGCATGTCCAAACCCTTCTCAGGCCCAAGGAGGGGGAATAAAGGGAAAGAAAATGACACAGGATTGTTTAATCATACCTTTGATCTCTAAGTTTCCTTCTAGGTTGTTTGTGGTTTTTTTTTTTTGTTGTTGTTGTTGTTTTTTGGTTTTGTTTTGTTTTTTTGTTTGGTTGGGCTTTTGTTTTTTTTTTTTTTTTCAAGAAAGTAGTTTGGTTTGAATACTGATATTTCAGTCATAGTTACAAATTACTTAATTTCAGCTAACAAAAATCTTGGAAGGGCTGAGTAAGTGCCTGGGTGAGGGCTAGGCTCACTGGATAAAGGACTTCTGATCACATACATTATCCCTTTTAGATTAATAGGAGATGGTTACTGTATATAATACAAGACAAAACGTGTCATAGAACAAAGTTATTTTAAGAACCATCCACACAATTAAGCTGTTGCAAAAAACCATTTATGAAAATTTTCAAGTTTCTTGAAGAGAAACCTAGAGTATTTTTAATGAAAGAACTGAAAAAATATCTGGTTTAGGTTTCAAAAACCTAGATCACTACAGGACAATCCTCATATTGGTACTGGCAAGAAAAATACACTGACCAATGGACAAAATGACAGTGTAGGCACAACATTTCGTTCAAATTCACATGACTAGTCAAAGGTATTTGCCTTCACATTTTTAAGACAACAGCAGCAAAGTTCTCAAAGGAACATTACATTAGAATAAAATGTTACCCTTGGCCAATTCTGAAACTTGTTTTACAGTCTGTACAGGCAACATGCCTCCAAACTAAGCTAGTGTTCAGCCAATTAGAAAAAAAAATAAAGGGAAGTGTGACTAAAGATTTGTAGTTGTATCAAGAAAGGTACGTGCCTACTCTGAACGATAGTATCAACTATACTTGACCCAAAAAAACCCTCAAAACCAAACTATTCTTCAAAAATATTAATCCAGTGGATTAAAAGAAACAATAAGTAATTACAT